CCCCAAAACCCCAAAACCCCAAAACCCCAGCGATATAAATTTGAATTCAAATAGGAGATATGACATTATAATTATAATAATTAAGAAACCAAAGAAAATGAAGAAAGACAATTATCATTATGAGAGGTTATCTGAGCAGCTTGAACATATGGACAAGAAGTCAATGGACAAGTTAAAACAAAACCTGAGAGATTCTTACCTATAACTTAAAGACCTCAATCACAGATGCCTAATAGATTTATCGAATGTTGAGAAAAATGACAAAAGAATATTCTATTTCAAACCAGAAAGCGTTTTACTATAAGACCCTGAAAAGCAAAGACAGTTTAGAGATAACTTGATTAAAAAAGTAGCCTCAGCTCCAAATATTAAGCAAAATCCTACATTATCAGAAGAGCTAACTCATGAGATGAATTCAACGATGATTGATCTTACTGAGCCAGACTCTGTTAGAATATAGTTAGCTTAATTCTACCAAAGAAGGCTTTACAACATTCAACACAAGAAATACAAGCTGCTGCTAAGATGGGCTCACTTTGCTTTGACTTCTGAATACCTAGATAGAATTGGTCATCATGGAACTTTCACTTATGGACGATTGTAATATGAACTTGAAAATTCAGTAAAGAGATATGAAAGGCTTAGTTAGGATGATGATTATGGAGCTATTTGAGATGGTGAAAGGTAGAGACCTAGAACCAAAGGAGCAGATGATGAAATTTCTTCAAGTATGTATAATGAAAATCCCAGAAAGGATCCATTGAGTTGTATTAGAATGGATGATTTTGAGATATACCTGAGGTAGCAATCATATGAAGTAAAACTTTTTAGAACTGTAGAAAAGTTCATTGCCAGATTAAAATGGCTACCTCATTTTAAGAGATATGATATGTTTAAAGAGTCTCATATTCTAATAAAAGTTGAGTAAGAGAAATTGTACAATTAATAGCGAGAATTTGAAAAAAGAGTAAGGTAAAGATTCGATCAATCTAATATGAGGAAATCAGATGATTTAATTGTTTAAATGGAAGAGATACTCTAAGTAGATTATAATTCAGCAAAAATTTAATCAAATCAATACTTTACAAAGGCTCCTACAAGCATTACTAATGTTATGGAACTTTAATTGATTATTTAAGAGAGAGCTGCTGAGTTTAAGATATTCGGTGATATAGAATTGGATGAGGGTCATTCATTCACATATCAGGTTAACATTTTCTTTACAACCTACTTTTAAAGATAAATAATCAAGAGCTAGTTTTCAATCTATGATGCAACAGTAAGAGATATGAAAGATGCTTACGAAAGTAATGAAGAAGTTGATGATGATGTTGGAGATCTAAATGAAATTCAAAGAAGAAACTTGAAATCTCTTATGCTTATAGATTTTCAGATGGTAGATCATTTCAATAGTAACTAAGATCAAGGAAATCTATTTCTACTAAAAAAAGGAAAAAAAATCAATGAGCAAATTCCTGAATTGAAAAAGAATTTTTAGGACATCATAGTAATCAGACTAAAAAAATGTTACTGGCTGCATGAAGTTTTATTAAGACCTAGAGTTGATGAAACTATGAGAAGATAAAACGCATTTTTCTCATTCGAATATGCACCAGATCTACTACTCTAGTCTATTTAAGACTTCACTGAAATAAATGATATTTCTTCGATCAATACAATTTACAACGACTTGACAAATATTTACAACTAAGTTGTCTAAAATTAAGAAAAGATGATTGATGATTTTGAATAAATAGTAAAAACAAGCTTAGTAACAGATTAATAAGCCAAAAAGCTACTAGATCATTTCAAAGAAGCCTTAAAAATTCATACTTAGGAAAACAAACATCTAAATCGTATGAAAAATGAAGAGTCTTCTCAAGAGTAAAAGGTCTTAGTTTCAAAAAACTCTATTTTAAGAGTGCTACCAAAGCATTACATTCAGTCTATGTATACTTTAAGACATATGAAAATTAGAGATACTAAGACCAAGCTTTTATATGCACTAAACTTTTTTAGAGCAGTGCAGAAAAGACTAACTCTTGATTTGAGAGAGTTTGTTGGTAGAGAAGTTGTTAGTTAAAATGTTGATTCACAACCACCTTAAGAGGCAATATACACTGGCAAAAGCTCATAGATTATAAGTGGAAATATAAACTATTCTTTCAAGTAAACAGATAAGACCCTTGATAAAAATGAACCTAAAATAGAGCCTTAATTAAAAGATGAAAATGACGTTGAGGACAATGAGCATGATGAAGATCAGCAATTTGATAAAACTAATCTATTAGATGTGAAAAAATGGAAGTATAACGGATAGTTCCATAATCATATGCTTAATACTTGCCCTATAATTCCTTAATTTCATTCAACTCATGGAGAACCATTATAAGATAAATTTACCTAACAAGATTTTACAGATTCAAAATCAACTACTAAAACACATGTGACAAGGAAAAGTTCTTCATATCTTACCAGAATGGATTTCTTTAAGGTAAATGAAGAATCTAAAGAAATTTTCGTAATTGATGATTATGGAATGTACATATTATACGACTGCTCTCTAGATGATATGGTTTAATTAGACAAAGAAATACTTAAAATAGGAACATATTTCATAAAGAAAAATGAGAGCTAATTTGATTTCAAGCAATATAAATTCCCCTTGGTTGAGAGATTCTAACTAATGGAAGATATAGTAGTATCTGAATTTGAGTTTTACTACATCAAAGCGAAATTAGTAATGGTATATTTAGAAGCATATGAGCATATATGTGATCCATTAGAATAGTAAAGAATGATGTAGATTATAATTGATCTAATAAGCTCGAGACCTAGAATAGATTATCAGAATAGTAACTATTTCATGGAAAGTTATAAAGCTGAGATCATATGTTATGAGACTCATTATAGACTCATGAGAGAAGTTGTTGATTATCAAATGAAAATGGAGAAAAAGGAAAATTAAAGTATGAGAGATTATTTGTAAATGACCTATAAAATTGCTAATTAATATGTAAACAAGTAATGGTCAGACTCAAATTAGGAAGATATCAAGAAGGATGTCAAAACAAGGCAAGTCATATAAGGTGGAATGAGATTTAATGATCTTTAAGAAATATAAGAATAACTAAAGGAATAATAAGAGTAATAAAGGCAGAGTTAAGATCCTAGCAACAAAGATGATGCAGATAATTAACAAAGAGAAAGTAATGTAGACAAGTTCGCTGAAATTTTGGGATTAAAAAATTAAACAGTGGAATAGATGATGAAAACTTAATCTAGGAGTGATGAAATAACGGAAGAAGCAATGAATTAAGATGCAAATTTCATTAAAACCTAAGAGGGATATCCTGTTTTTATAAGAGACAGTAATGATTCACTTTCAAGAGTTAAATTCACAGACTTTTCCAATGAAATTGGAGTACTAGATTTCTATGAATCACTCACAGCTATTCCAAAAGTAGTTGCTTCAATCTAAATAGTATTTGAAGAGGTGGTAGAGACTTGTATGCCTGCTAATTAGCTTTAACTGATATCCCTGAATACAATATACCTAGAAAAATGTTTTGTAGAGTTTAAGAAATGTGTGGCTTTTGCATAGGATGAATTAATTGAATACAAGGGATCTTAATATATAGAGAATGATTTGATAATGACATCTCCTGATAAATTGATGTTCTTGATTAAAGATATGGTAGGTCATCTGTCCAGAACCTACAAGAAGAGTTTAAATCCATTCTTTGTCTCTAAGCTTGATTTTTTTACTGTTCACAACTTCTAGTTTTAAGATATGCTAAAAGAATAAATGCAAACCTAACTAAGACTTGATGTTAATTTTACGAGAAATTTCATAGAAACTCAGCTTCAAAGCAAAGGAAATTAAGCAAGATTTTTCCCCAAATTGCGAGAAGATGATAGAAAAGTTAATGTACCCCCAATGCTTTTGGTATTTTGTAATTTGATTGAAGTTATTAGATTAAGAGAGTTGATGATAACTAATCTCAGTGAGACCTAAGTTCTCACTGATTTTTACATGCATCTTAGAGATTTAGTCAACAGAAGCAACTACAAGCTACTTTACCAGAACTAGCTCATCTTTGAAACATTTGCAGTTTCCAAGGAGTAAATAAACTTCGTAGAAGATGGATCACTCACAGATGTTGATATTGACTTAGCTATTAATGAATATGATTCTAATTTAAGGTCTAATCTTAATTTCATGAATTCAGAATCTGTTTAATGTCTAGTTTTAGATGGAGGTGTTTCTGAACTTAGGGCTGCCACTACATATCAAGTTTTGTAGAAACAACTATTGATTGTAGCAGTAAAAACTAACATGAAGATGATGGACTAGTATATGAGAGCTGTAGCTGAGATTGAGTTATTTTAATAGTATCGAATTAAAGTTGAAAATTCTATAGTTGATTATAAAGTTTTCTATAGACTCAATGGGACGGTTAATGATGAGCTTGTAGCATCATATAGATCAAAGTACTCCAGCAATATGACTTATGAATTAGCAGAAGAATTTATGCAGATACTACCCATTAAATAGCATGCAAGAGCTATTGTTGAAAAAAAGTTTAAGCAGACAATTAACTAATTGGCTAATTTAAAGGAGCAATATCTAGATATTACTTCATAAGTTCAACAAATGCCTAACTATTCAATAGCTTGGCTTATGCGAGACTATAAGATATCTCTATTATTTTGTCTGAGCAATTAGATATGCAAATAAAATATGATAGAGGCTACCAAGTTTGAATGCATGCAAAGTACTTTTGAAATAAAGAAGCTAATGAATTTGCTGCCAAAGGACATTGCATTATTTAAATTGCAAGAAAATGAGATGAAGGATTGTTTCTTCCAAAATATGTATTATGACAAAACTACTGAATTAGAAGAGTAACCTTATTTTACCAGCATTGAGACTGGTGAATTATAAAATATACTTGTTCTTCCCTCTTACAAATCACTGAATAAAATTCAATGTTACACTCAAGAAGAAAAGAAAATCATAGAAGATATCACATGCTTTGACTAGGTCTCAAAATAGCTTGAGTACTAATTGGATTAATTCAAAAGAAACAACATCGACCATGTAAATTTGAAGTAAAAAATGAGAAAGGTAATTATTGAATTGAAGAAGCACTTAAATTCAGATTTAAAAGTAGTATAAGAACAAATAATGATTGGTAAATTGAGAATGCTTTAAAAAACTTTGCTTGATATGTTTGAGATGAATTTTTATCTCTCTAAACTTTAGATGCATCCTCTAGAATGCTTATAAATGGAAATAGCAGCTGAAAAATTCCTTCCGTTTTGGTAACCTTAAGATACATTATTAGAGGATTAGCTATTGACTGAAGTTGAAGATGAAGGTCTTGGAGAGAAGATAATGAAAAAATTGATTTTTGAAAAGAGGCAAAAATAGAGTTTGAATGACGAGATGGAACAATTAGGTAAAACTGTAAGAAGTGTTTTCATAAGAATGATCAGTGACATTGTCACAGGAACTTTACAAGAATCTCTTGATTATCTTCAGAGATACAATTAATTAACACACTACAAAATCATAGCAGGAATTTTGAATGTGCTAAATAGTTTCTACTTAAAAAATAAATCTCCAAAATCATTACTTGATCTCCATTGGGGATTCAGAGAAATATCCTCAATAGATCTTATATCTCCAGTATTTTCTAATGGAACTGTAATTCATTATACTTTGATTGATCCTTATCAAAGATAAATAAGCCATTAGATGAAGCAAGATTATGAATAGTTTAATCGAACTATAAAAGGTTTAAAATGTGAAAATGAACTGATAACTGGAGAATTTGTCCTAATGGAAGATTTGTTTTATTTAGCTACGAGTCAGATACCAAGTTCAAATTATGTTGGAAAGAGCTATAGTAGATAGTACAAATATCTAAATGTAATATAATTTTTTAATTTATTTAGAGTATGATACACGGACTTGAGAGAGAAGAAGTAACATATTTATCAACAGAATATACTTCCATAGATCAAAACCTAAAAGAGTTGCTTTAGCTAGATAAAATTGTCAATGATGCATCTGTTTATTCTCTCATTAAAAGGTCTAATTACACATAAGATATTATCAAGTCAAAGATCTTATATTTCGGACTGATCATCTTGCTAAATAAACAAACAATATCTTTGGATTATAAGGAATTCAACTATCAGCTTCGAGTATATAAGAACGATTTAAATTGGAAAATTGAAAATGAGTTTAATAAAAAACTTAACAAATTTTAAAATAAGCTAAGCAATAATAATATATCAAAGACAGATGATAAGAAGAGATAGGGATAAAGTCAAATAAGTGATGAAAGAATAGTAAGAGCATCAAATACTGCATTAGATAATAATATATAGCAAGCAGTTGCTGTTTAGTAATATCGATCAGTATAAAGAGATTTGCATGTATAGCATATTAGATAAGGCAATTTAATGTAAAAAGCAATAATCAAGATGTCATCAAGGGAAATCGAAAGAAGAATACTTCGATTAGCAATTGATTCAATTAGTTCCTAAATTTCTGCTTTATCTAAGTGCCTAGAAATGACTAGTAAAAATCTTGATAATAGCGGCTATACAGGCTATGTCGGAAGCATTTAGAATTTCGCTCCGAGTTTCTTTGATCATGTAAATAAAAATGCTCATTTAGAGGTGGTAAACAGAGTATAGCAAATGTAGGTTCTTTTAACTAAAATAAGAAATAGAGGAATGGATATAGAAACTTTAACCAGTGGCCCTGGTATAGTATTTACTTATAAAGATCTAAATGAGTGCCTATAACAATTTTGTAATGATGCCATATCTTATTCAGAGAAGGAATTAAGATTAAGAACCAACTCTTTTACTTAGATAGTTAGTCAATAGAAGCATTTAATATACATAAAAGACAGAAGGATTGAAGGACTTAAGAGAAGAGTTAAACTGATTTACGATAATATTACTAGAATTGTCAATTCTAGAGTTTACGAAAAAGGGAATTCTCTTATATTTGAATTGGACCGAAGCTTAAGAGAAAAGAAGTTTTATCAGGATCACATTTTTGTTTTTGAAAAAGAAATGAAGGAGTTTGTTAGAGAAGAGTTTAGACTAATGCTACAAAGGAAAGATCTAGCTTTAGATATCCAAAAAAAGATGATGAAAGACGTTGGTAATTAACTTGTAACTGAGGTAAAGGCACACGTCCTCAATGAATAAAAGAGAATTAAGAAATAAATTAAACAAACAGCTAGGAAAATGAGAGATCTTGATAGCTTCAAGCCTAAGTAAAGAAATTTTTATCAAATATAAAGTCAGAGTGATAATAATGGTTTTTCTTAGATTGAGGGGAAGAATAAAACTCTTAAAAATATAGAAAATGATGATTTAATGAATCCAAATGATTGGGTCGTTTCACCTGAGGAGGCTACACTTGAAATGCTAAGAATGTAAGATCTGCTTGTTAAACAGAGATCACTTTGGATGCTAAAATTTTAAACGTAGTAAAAGAAATATGAAGATTAAATTGAACTTCTAAAGAATAAACTTACTTCCAATACAGCACTATGGGAGCAACTGTAAGAATCAGATAAACGATCTAAAATTCTTTAACAAGAGTTGACTTTTACCTAAAAATCTCTATCATAATGTGAAAAGATTATTGAAAAATTGAAAGAAGAGCTAAAATAGTCAGAATAAGAAAGAGTAAGACTCTTCTAATACAAATAAAACAAGGCACAAAGATTAGAGGAACTAGAGCATCAGGTGAAAAAGATAGATATTAGTGAGCATATAAACATCACCAAAGTTATCGATATGCTGAGTACAAAAGATAAAGAACTAAGCCAGCTTAAGAAAAATGAGAAGAATTTCGAAGAGCGATTATAGTAGATTCAATTTAAGACATAAAAGGAAAAGCATAGAATGCATTAAAAATACGACAAAGAAGTTGAGATGAAAAGTTAGGCTATCAATCAAATGAATAATCTCAAAAATGAATTATAAGGATTTGAATTAAACAGTGGTGATAAAGATTAGGGATTATGGAGAAATAAATGTAAAGACCTCCTGGAAATATGTCAAAATTTGACGGAAGAAAATTTTGTATTGACATAGAAACTAAAAGAATAAGTTATGGAATTTAATTCTATCCCGCTGACAAATTAAAAATCTTTGGAGGATTTTACCTAGCATTAATAGCCATAAATTGCTAAGAAATCTAGGAATAAATTACTTGCAAAAGAAGATCACACACTTGATAGTAATTTATTTGCATCTGATAACTCAGCTTATAATATTCTCCCAAATATTAAATAGAGTAGCTCTATCATAAACTATAGCTCGTAATAATACAAACATAATGATCTACTAAGTAGCTCATTTTTACATAATGAATCTATCAATAGCTCTTAAATACCTATAAATTTAGCAGCTGGTTCAGGGATTACTGGTATGCTTATTAACAACTCAATAAATATGGGGAGATAGGAAGGTTCTCCATTCAAGCAACCTAAATCAGAAAATTCAGAATACTAATAGACTGATCTATAAAATAGTATGAGTTCATTTTACAACAGCAATCTAGTCGGGCAAATATCTTAAATAAAACCAATAAAGTAGATAATGGGAGGTAATCAATATTAACTTCTAAATTCTGCTAAGACACAGCTTAAAAGTACTTAATAGCTCAAAAACAGATAAATTTAGAAGCGAAATATTTCTACTAATAGTTATAGCAACCATTTAAGCGCTTATGACATTGGAAATGGATAGCATTCTACATCAATAAGTGCTTTGAGCAATAACACTAGTGATAGAAATGCTTATGGACTGACCAAGATAAGAAATGATCCATCAATGTCAAGAGAAATTTACCAAAGAACTGAAAGAAATTTGAGTACTGCAGATAATAAAAAGCTATCACAATACGAGGACTTTTCTTTAAGAGGCCATACTTTGAGGAAGAAACTATGAAGATAAATTTTAATACCCTATAATATTATTGATTAATTGCAAATGAATATTAGTTTTTCTTAATTTAATAAATTCTATATTTTAGTCACTGATATGCTTGCAGAATATTGAAAAAGTATTCACATTCAACAACTGCATCCTCTGCCAGGTCAGTACAGTGAAGTGCATTTCTAACTCTATCCAGTCCAAACTTAGCTCTAAATTAAAGTTGAAACATTAAATCTTATCTTACCTAATTGTGTTTGGTCTTAGATGTTTAGCGATTTCTGGATCGTGAGGTCCTACCAAAGCTCTAAAGTTTGGAACAACATTTTCTTATCTTATCTCCATTACAATTATTGGTCCTGATGACAAATGCTCAATTAGAGGAACATATTCAGGAAGTACTCCCTTGTACACATCATAAAATTCTTCGACTGTTGCCTTGTTAAGATGGAACATCTCCATACCTGAGATTTCGAAACCTTCTTAAAGAATCAAGTCAATGATCATGCCTGCTTGACCAGCTTGAATAATATGTGGCTTTATAATACAGAGAGAACAAGAGTTCAATTGAGCTGTGGTCTTCATTGGTCTGTCTGATGGGTTTCCTTCAAACCAAAAGGCAGTCTCCTTTTTTACAGATCCGTTTGAGTCACTACCATGAACAGCATTCTTAGTTCCATCTGTACCGAAGTAAGCTCTAAGTGAATCTGGAGCATCAGTCTTTGCCACTGCTGTATTGGTTGGTCCAATCAATTATCTCCATTTGTCTATTGCATTTTCAGCTACAAGTTCCATGCCGACTACTACATCACTGGTGATGAATTGTTGAAGATTGGGGAAGAAAGGCTTTCCTTTATGCTCTCCGTAAAACACGCCTGCAGTAGCAGGGGTGAATCTTGACATTTTTAACTTAGATATTTTAAATCCGTTGAGGTAAATTGCATCAATGATCTTTCCAATATTTGTGTAAGCATCTGGCTTGATCATTGCGAAAGTCCTTTATCTGTCCACTTCAAATCTCTTTCTAGTTGCCACATCACCATAATCAATGATTTTAAGTTATCTTGTTTAAACTGTCAGAATAGAACCAACATATAAATCATTCATAACGATTCCACCCTGAGGGCTACGTTTCAAGAAAATTCTTCTGTTTTTATTATCATACTAGAAATATATTGTAAGACCGAGAATTTATTTACCATCTCAACAGTCTAATCACCTGGATAATAAGTAACTCTGTAGGATCTGATAAGGGAAGCTTGCTAATCATACCATTCAGTTTCAAAGACATATCTCTCTTCTCCAACGATTCCAGCCATTTTATTCTTAATCTATTAACTTTTCTAATTTTAAATTTAATCTAATCCTATAAGCACATCAACTAAAGGGGGTTTTGGGGTTTTGGGGTTTTGGGGTTTTGGGGTTTTGGGG